TATTAGTAACGTAGCTGCTATCAGAGCACACAAGGAAGTGTAAATTCCCAAGCACCACACAGCAAGCTGTATGTGTAATTAAATACATAAATATTCACATATTACCTGTCTCTACATCTATATTGTCTAAGAACCTCACATCTTCCTTGTGTCACTGATACTGGAGATCTTCATCTCTCTGCCATATAACTGCATTTTAACGCTGATGCTGGAACAAAAACAACTGTACAGAGTATGTACATGGGTTTTCTGAGAAATGAATGGCAGTAATAATCATTTGTAGTGTAAGGATCAGCGGTTGTGCCCAGAGGCAGATGTACTGGTACTTCTCTGGTATGCCTTATCTTCCTCTGGGTGTAGAATCTATGCAAGGCTGTGTCTGGAGCAAATTTTCTTGCTGCCTGACTGCAAAACTGGTTTGATTTCAGAAGCTGTGTGACATGTACACATGACACTGCAAGCTCCTAATACTGTGGTGGTCTTATTTAAGTATGCCCTGGATGTTTAAGAGGAGAGATATTAAAGTAGTTAAAAGTTTCTCCTTTTGCTTTGTAATCAAGACTCCATCAGCACTGTAGTTGAACTTCTAGCCAAAGGCTAGAGGTAAGTCCAGGGACTGACGGGTTTAGAAATGGGGTGTTATGCAGAGTGGATTGGGGACCTACAGAGGCTAGTGAGGAGGTCCTCAGCTAAAAAAAAAGATTGTGTTTAAGTAAATCTTTGGTCTGTATCTGGAAGAGCAAAGATTTAAACCCAGGTTTTCAACAAGCTGAATAAATGTCAGTAACTGTTTGCTTTCTGACCTTGTCTCTGTTCCCTTTCTGACTTGGAGCTGAGAACCTTTTTCTCATTACAGCTTCTTTAAAACTGGAAAGTTTCTTTTGACAAATTGCTCACCTTAACTCCAACACTTCCTAGATTTCTTCTGTTGGACTTGACAATCTTAATTCTTTTCCAGCATCATTTTGTGGGGGTGAGGTGCTGTAACTTGAGTGAAATAAAATGAGATGTATAAACCAAATATTTCTTTTTCACGTAGGTGCCCATATGGAGAATTTTGTCAATATCTATTGCATAGACTTGTAGCTTTTAGGGCCAGAAAGGATCTTTATAATCATCCAGTTCCATCTTGGATATAACAGAGGCTGCAAAAATTTGCTCAGTTGCTATCACATCAGTTGCACTCCACTTGAGCTACTTTGGGAAAGAAATGCATTCTTAATCATGCTATGAAAGACTCTGTCATAATATTCACAGAAAACAGGACAAAGTGAAGGTCAGATCTGAATTTTCTCATCGGGGAAATTAGAGTCTTTGATGTTGCATAATCACAAATTTTTATACCTTCACACTCTGTATTATACAAGTGATTCATTAAGCTATAATAGATGTTCCATGTCACTCGAGCATCCTCCTTTTGAACTTCAGAAATGCAGATGTATTCACAGACCTAAACTGGAGATCTCATTTTGAATGTATATGTGCATGTAGCAGTGTGTGTACTACAAGAAGGAAGTGTTATTTGTGAGAGTTATAGGCTTGTAAACCACAGAGGCATTTGCAGATATTAGATTTGTTCAGCTACATTAGCAGCTGTTTTGAGCTTTTGGGATCAATGGGTTTGTATGCAATAAAAGAATTCTATTTCCAGTTAATACAAAAGAAATCTTATAGGTAGATCATTTGTCTTAAACATTCAAAGAACTTTTTAATTAAATAATAAAATATGAAGGTTAACATTGGGGGAACTTTTTCGTCAAGCAGTCACCTACCCTACAAACTATTTTTCTTTAATATTAGCTTTGGCTTTCCCCAAGCAATGCTCCAGTCCTTAGAACTGCAGTGTATGGTAACACACTCCAATTAGTGGCCAGCTGTGCAGCTACATAATTATTATTTGAAGACATTGCCATTCATTTTTCTATATCTCCATCGTATCCCCACTCAGTGGCCGTAGACTGAGCAGTACGCTTTAGTCACGTGTGATACAGAGGTCCTATGATATTTTAATTGTCTTTGTTCCCTTTCTCTTTGAGTCTCTCAGTTTTGTTTTTTTTTTTTGAAAAGGGGCATGCAGAACTGCATAATAATAAAGGCATAAGTTCATCATAGATTTATTTAGTGACACGATGATATTTGGCTCTCTAGTCTTTTCCAAAAAACTACTAATACTTGATTTTTGAATTCTGGTCACTATCAGCCATTGAATTGACATTTTCAAACAGCTGGTGTGCCTCTTAAGGTTTCATTATTGAAGGGTAGCACTCAGTTCTGAGTCTATTATCTATTATTGTGTACATAAAATTAGTGGGTTTTTTTCTCACCCTGTGCTCTGCTAAAATCAATTTACATTGAATCTCATCAGTTACTTTGTTGCCCAAGAGGTTGTACCAGAAGTTGCATCTGCAATTCATCAGCCTTTGCCTTTACTATCTTGAATAATTCAGTGTAACCACCACATTTTATTAACTCAATATTTATGCTTTTTACCAGATGATTTATGAAAATATGGAACAGAACAGATCCTAGTGCAGGAACAGATACTTTTTTCTACCCCTTGTTTGCTATGTCTTTACCTACTCTTTACCTATCTTTTACCTACCTCCATGTGAAGACTGCCTCTCTCACACTAAAGGATGTTCATTTCTTTAGGAGTCTTTGCTTCAAGACTCTGTCAAGTGCCTTTTGTGGATCCGAGTACACTGTACCAGCCAGAGCTCCCTGGTGTACATGCCTGTTGACTCCTTCAGAGATTGTCAGCAGAATTTTGAGGCACAATGTCTTTTTGCAAAGCCATGTCAGCTTTTTCCAAGTATAATCGTTCCCTGTTGTTGTAGTCTGTATTTTATCCTTTGGAATAGTTCCTTCCATTCTTGGACTTCAGGTTTGCTTCTCTATAGTTCCTCGGATCTGTCTGTAACCCTTGAAAAAGAATCTGGTGTCATGTTTGCCACCATACAGTACAGTGGCATGGAGGTTTGTTCAACAATACTTTCTGTAGCTGCAACATGTTTTATCAGCTAAAGTACATGAGATCAATTTTCATTAAAATTGTAATATATAGCTTTATGCATACATTTGGAGAGCATAGATACAATGTAAAAGTCTATAAGATTAATAGTAATTGGAAAGTTAAAATGCAACAATGGTAATTTTCTTTGCAGTTCTCACTTTGTGTAGAAACAGATGTGCTTCCAAATCTGTTTTAACAGATTTTTCTTTTTTATAGATAACCCATTGACTAATGCTGTAGAAAATAAACACAATACTTTCATATGATATACTCACAGGTAAAAGATGAAAATTTAAATGACCTCTTTTACATGGAAGAGCCTGCCTACTTTGGGTGTAGGTTCCCAGATATTCTCAGAGACAACACAGGAGCCTTTTTCCCAACTAAGAATTTTATTATAGGAATGTCTATCAGCTTCGATGCCAAACATAAACTAGTGCAGAACAATGAGTATGCTTACTTGATCTTTTATAGGTAGATGCCTGAGTCTTTAACAAAGATTTTAACAGTAAGTTTTTAATGACAGACCTAAATTTACTCCATTTCAACTTCAAATTGCTTAGATGTAGTATCAATCCAGTTAATGTAACACTGAAATCAGAGTTGGGCAAGTAAGTCCAAGCACAGCTTTATCCTAATGCAGCTACTTGGCTTCAGGATGGCTGGAAATGTGGACAGAGTCATCCCACACCTACCTTCAAAGAAACCTGAACAGTGATATATGTAATCCAAGAGTGAAGTTTCTTGTAGTATTTCACTCAGGATTGGTGCTTCAGGGGACACTAAGGAAGGTAAATATACTCATAATCAGAGTAAGCTGCCCATAGACAGGTTATAGATCCTGACATTTAATGTAAGAAGTTCTGCTATCAGTCCAACAGCTCAACAGGAGGTTTTCTTCCCTTTCCCCTTTCCCCTTTCCCCTTTCCCCTTTCCCCTTTCCCCTTTCCCCTTTCCCTTCCCTTTCCCTTTCCCTCTCCCTCTCTTTTTCCTAGCTACTGTGTGGTTGTACCTCTTTGTTTAGCCCTTTAGCAGAATGCAAAATTGGGTGTTTCTCAGTAGTCCTCTTCATTCTCCACCCTCTTTTGGCATTTTCATGTTTTGAAGATCCATGATAATTGAAATCCTAAAATGCGTAAAGCAACATATGAGTATTGTGAAGACAAGTGTGTAGTGTCTTGAAAGACACTGTGCCAATGAAGGACAAAACGTCAAGAAGGACAAACAAGAGGCATGAGAGCAGCGTGGCTGAGGCTAATGAGTACATGTCCAGCTGTGTCTGCCCTTCAGACGGAAAGCAGTTGAATACCAGTGGCTGGAAGCTGAGGCAGATGGCAGTGCAGGATTGGTTAGGAGCAGAGGCACAATTCAGATATTACTCAGTAATGATGCATTTTATATCTTATTCTACAATAAATGAGTAATCTGCTTTATATATACGCTTGGAAGAAGTGGCTGCTGCCATTGTGCTGCTGCTAGGAGGCAAGGGATTAAAAAATTGAAAATAAAGTAAAATAAATGACCATTGCTCAGAATTTTAGCTCTAAATTCATATATACAAACAAGCCAAAATTAAATGTACCATCCTTTCTTTCAAGGCGGTGCTAAAAACGCTACTCAAAGACCTGTGAACCAGATCAGTGCTTTCTGCTCTATTTTAATTTCTGCAGTTATTTTTCTAGCAGTCTGGCAAATCAGACAATAGTGCATAATCCTCCCTTATGAGCATCTATAGAAATGTGAAAATAACTAGCCTTTGCCTACAAGGAAAACATGTGAGCAATTAGAAAAAACAGAGCAGGTCAAAAAAGTGGTAGGCAGTCAGAGAACAGACAAAAAGGAAAAAGAGTAGGAGGAGAAAAGTGTTAGCAACACTACAACACTTGCATCAGTTAGAGGGGGAGAGAGAGTCTATAGCAACTTGAATATCTGAATGTTGGTTCAAGTGACAGACTCAATCTAGACTTAAATGTAGAAAATGGGAAAGCAAAGTTAACAAGTCATATACTAGGATTCAATGAAAAAATATTTTCAAATATTCATGTTAAACTTGGGGTACATTAATTTTGATCATTTTCAAGTCTCTGTGTTGCATTTTCTTTCCCTGAACATTTCAAGTTAATTTTATTATAAAGAAAAACCTTTGGAAAGGAAGTTTGTTGACTGTGCAGGTTTGAAATTCACAGAACAAGATTATTTTTAAATTCATTTCACTCAAGCATTTTCATCAGAAACTCAGCTATGAGAATTATAAATAAAGTGATAGATAACTTGATGCTTGATTATCTGAACAAGTTCAGCCTGAGCTTTATGATTTGTATTTTGAGTAGAAAGACATAAAGTACATGACATGAAGTTTGTTTGTGTGTGTCTGGAGGCTCTGTAGATCCCGAAACATGTAGCTTTCTTTAATTGATAGTTACAAATTAGACACTTGTCTCTGCTGTGTGCAGTACCACCAGGATGTGGTGGTACATCACAAAGGAAGGTATTTATTAGGCAAAGTATGACTCTGTACTGAATAGAGCTGCTGGAACTTGAGGTGTCTGACATTGATCCTTCACACCTCTGAGGGCATTTAGTTAGAAGATTGTCTGATGAGCTTTGCTTCTAGCAGTGTTCATAACCTGTCTCTCCAATACATTCTTAGCTTGAGAACTTCTACATCATCTGTCTCCCCTCTTCCTCCACGCGTGTGGGAAGGACAGTAGGAATTTGATGTCACTGAGTGCCTTAAGCTTGCCCCAAGAAGGTGGAGGAATAAGAGCCACACAGGTGTCCCTTCACTACCCCTTTCCAGGAGTAGCCTGCAGCCAGCATCAGGCCGGTGAGAACTCATGTAGTGTTTACCATGGTGGTTCCTCACCTTCAATATTAAATTAAGGATACATTAAAAAAATCAGTGTTTACTTATTAAGCAAGTAAATAAACTGTTCATAAATCCGTTACAGGAAATTCTTCAGTCTTCTCCTTCATCTTTAGTTTTGCCAGCTGTTGACTGCGAGGCTACCAGGTATCTTCTGAGATTTCTTCAGGGGTCAGGAGATTGGAAGCTAACAAACATAACTAATCTCGATGCCTCTCATCTGGAAGTGAATACATCTAAACCAAACTTACTGGTGGTTCAGCTACAACCACTTGTCAGGTAGGAGCTTGTCACAAACAAAACTGACCCACATGTGTGCACGATTTTTAAAGCTTTTGAAAATGTTACTTGTATTCAGGAAATTTAAAAAACAGGGTGGAAGCTTACAGAGTTAACAAAGTTATTTCTCTTGCAAGGGTGAATTCGGTGTTTTTTATAATCCCTTGATGACAACAAAGGGACCACTAATAAAACTAGATGGCAACATACTTTTAGCAGCAAGGCTGAATTATTTGATGCAACACATGATTAACCTGCAGCATTAATTGCTAGAAGGCATTCCCGTGGTCAAAAAAAACTGGCAGGATAAACAAGCAAATAAACATACAGACAAACCTGAAGTTAATATGACTAGAAAGACTGGTTTTTACCACTCTAGAAGGAAGAGAAGGGCTATATTTCTTTGTGTTTCCAGGCCTATGACAACTGTGATCTAACAGAGGTAGAGAAAGACTGTTCCTTCAGGTGAATGTATATTTAGAAAATATAAGGCATGGGTGTATTGAGTCCCTCTGCTCAGCTTCTCCTGCTCTTTCTTCTTCCTGGCCTGTTCCCTGTGGCATTTGTACATGTCGGTATAAGGTGCATGTATCAATAGGTCCTAAGGAAGTTCAATCATAGCCATCACATCACTACACAAAAGAAGACATGATACCCACTTTAAGGAACTCATGTACAAATGTCAGACAAGGGACCGACACCAAATGAAAAGCAAGCTGTGCAGACATTGGTCTAAATAGCATCAGCAGTCTGGTTTCTCTGCAGCTAAGGAAGTTTGACGGGTTTGAGGAATCAGCCGAAGATGTGGTCCTTGTACTATTAATGGCTTTGCAGAAGATAAAGGTCATAAGGAGGAGATGAGAGAATGATGGAGGGACTGACGCTTGCAGTAATCCTTTTACTAGTCAGTATCTTTGTACATTTCTGGTTCACATTGTTCTTGCCTAGAAAACTATTTTAATTATTTTTCTCCCACTCTTTTTGTAGTGGTTTAAATGAGATTTCCACCCTAGAAGCAATTGCTGAAAATGGTAAGCAATATGACCAAGATATAACTAATATTTCATCATTTAAATCTGTGTTTTCACTTGAGCAGACTGTGTTTTCTAGTTCCTGGGTTTTGCTGTAATACTACTATTTTAAGACTCTCTTCTTCCTCATCTATAGTACTTATAAGCAGTCAGTTATCATAGTGTTGAAGTACTGAGCGACTGATTCAAAATCCACCAAAATGGGTACAGCTCTGTGATCATTCGCTGCTGCTTCAGGCATGGGCTTTTGCTCAAGCTCTGAGATTCTCCCAGTTCAGAGTACAAACCCTGCATCTCCGTGCAGCGTGGACCACCTCCTTAGGTCTCACCTTGCACACCAGCAGCTGGAGATGTCAGGCTCATCCAGCAGTTTGAAGATTTTGGTCTCAACAGAGGGTGTCTGAATTAATAGGAAAATTAATAGGAAATTAATTTTTCTTTGTAAAACAATACTGGTGTCCTTCACAGCCTTCAATTTTAGAGTCTTTTACTGGTTTTGCAGGTATTAGAGACTACTTGTTAAAGTTGAATGTCTCCATATAACACTATAATAAAACTTATCTTGCCTAGCATCTGGCTGAAGAAGAGGTGCCATACACCAAAGGCACTGAGAGGCATCTCTTTTTTTTGCAGGGCTTTCACTTACTACTCTAAATTAGAGATTGAGTTATGAAATCTGCAAATCACTGTAGTGGTAGTTTCAGGGATGTACATTGTCGGGTAGGGTAAGGGTAGGGTAGGGTAGGGTAGCGTAGTGGGCTCCAAATTAAACAGTGTCCTTAGTGCCTATGACTGTTTCTATCCAGAGCTGGGGGTGTAAAATTAGAAGCAGATTTCAGGGGAAGATACCTTAGTAGTGGTGTGTCCTTTTCTCTTTGTTTTTGCACTACTCCAAAGTGAGTGTAGTTTTTGTGCTCAAATAAGCAACTGGATTTCCATCTCTGAATTGGAATTGTTTAGTTCTCTTTTCTTGTCCCTAGAGAATATTAGATAGGAAAAGCCTTGTCTTCATATTGGCTTTGGCTACACCCTGGCTTTTTCTTTATGAGACATTTCTTTCTTCAGCTGCACAAACTCAAAAATAAGCTTCCCAAACCCTGCCTCAGGCCACTTGGTTTTGGAACAGCAAAGTTAGCGGTGAACCTTTGGGATGATGGAGGAACAGGTTATACCAACTTCCAGGTTAGTGTCAGCTAGATGTTATCAGGAAAAAGGTATGTGGATCAGGGAAGATGTGCCACTTTGTAAGGCCAAATGCAAAATCTGCACCTAGTATTCTTCATCTCAGCTGTGCTCTGGAAAAGTGGGAGTGTGGGCTAAATACTCACCTTCTGGTTTATTTACCAAAGCAGGCACTCAATGCGATGCTGAATAAAAACTGGAAATAACATCACCAGGAAGTTTTAATACAGATGAAAGTTACTGAGCCACGATTCCTTAAAATTATCCCACTGAAGGCTGCGCAGCAGATGGGAGAGAGTCGGAAGAGAGTCATTCCAAAAGTAGTAGATAAGTGTCCCAAACACAGTCTTCCAAGCCATGCAATCTGGGCTCCAGCAGGTCTAGGTGTCTAGGTACCGTTTGCAGCACAACCATCATCATTTGCCAAATAATGTTGTCAGGAGACCCTTCGAGGTCAGAACTGCTTGCAAGGTCATGAGTTACTGGTTGTTACGGAAGGACTGCTGACAGATCCCACCTGGGTAAGCAGTAACAAATACTCTTTGTCACATACCTGCAACATGACAAGAGAATTGTTAACCCATAAATACTGCTTGTAAAATTTTTTTTATTGCAGTATCAACAGTAAAACACTGCAGACCTAGCAGGCTGCCTAGAAGTTCACAAAGCCTCTTATGTTTGTCACAGCAACCTCGTTCCTTTCCGCTGTAGAGAGTTTTAAAATCTGATGTAATAAAATGTCAGAGAAATCTTTCCTGCCGCTTTACTCACTGCAGACAGGAAGCTCTGTAAGACAGAACTAATGGGCTCAGATTCTACCCAAAGGAAATGTGCTGTTCTGAAATATCTAGAAGCTGGAGTAAGCAGAAGTTTTTAGCACATCATTAAAATGAGGCTTATTAGGAAATCCAGACTGGAATTCAGAATCCAAATTTGCTCAAGTTTCAAGGGATTCAGGCTTACTGTTTTCTTTATGCTTCTTTTCAGCATTTTTTCTTTCTTTCTTTTGCATGAGGTAGGGTTTGACATTATTACTCAGTTTTTGCCAGTTTTCCTAAATGTTTCTCTGCTCAGGAGAAGGTTGCATTCTGTCATGTCAGTCTTACCTGCTGGATCCCAAATGAACGATAAAGCTGCCTATGACTCCATCTGTATAAGATGAGGCTCTTTAATTGCTATTGCATGTATTCCTTTTTCCACTCTGATTCTCAGTGCATTCCTCTTCCCACTCTTTCTCTTCTCTCCTGTTTTCCCCCCTCTGATCTTGCTCTTTTCGGTTCTGTCTTGTTCCCAGTTTACACTCTCCCTTTCTTTTTACTTTTCTCCTCCCAGAACATTTCTTCTCAGTTCATTTCTTCCATCCCTTCCATTCATGTGTAAAAGCACACAAAGAAATTAGGGTAGATTAGAAAGTAATAATAGCACTAATCCTGCACTCCCTTGTGAAATTCAAAGGACGTGTCTTAAATGAGTTAGAAAGGTTTAATGCTTCCACCAGGGCATAGATGCAGGCAGTTATGCTAATTGGAAGGTGTTATCCTAGACAAACTGTTTTACATTCATAGATCTACATAGTGTTTCCTTGATCCATGCTATCCAAAAAAACACAAAACGAACTTCAATAGATCCGCTCTAAAATCACTCTAACATCAATATCACCATCTGGAAATATCTCTTGTCCCATTAAAGAAAGAGCCTGGGATGACTAATACTCCCATTTAGGCATGTAATTTAGGTGTTTTGAAATATTGTGGAAAAATCTGGGCCCTTTCCCCTGGAGAATTTGCAAGTACTTCATAAGCAAGGTAGAGTTGTGATCACAGGCAAACAAAAATCTATATCAGCTCTGTTGTTGTGAGAGTGTTCACAGCAGCTTCTCTGAATGAAGGAATTGCCTCTAGAATCTTCCCAAAGGCAAGAGTTATATATGTTACTGGTAACTATAGTTACACATAGCTCCTTACTGAAGTGAAATGCAAATAATGTGTCATTTCAAAAAGTAATCAGTTGCTTTAATGAAAGAAAAAACAAAGATAATCTATGCATTTTTCTATGTATTATTTTTTCTTCTGCAAATTTTAGCTGAGGCTGCTGAGGATATCCAGTGAGTTGCACTCTGTGCACCTCATGGAATACAAAATCTACATTATGTAATGCCTTAGACCTCCACACACGACATACTAACACTAGTAGTATATAAGCAGTTGTTTTTCTTATTAAGTCTGTTTCTTACAGTAGATCCTTTTAACAGTAATTTTTTAGAAGGGAACTTTACATAGCTATGATTCTTGACTGATACGAGGAAATCAGGTTGGTTAAAACCCTGCAGAAAAACAAATGCTTGCATTTTTTCAAAATCTAAACATCTTACTCAGCCAAGAGGCCATAATTACTGTAAATAGAAGAGGCTAAAAGGGATAATAATATAAGCTCCACTTCTAGTACACGAAAATGAAATACAGTTTCTGTAACATAGAACCTTGAAATCTGAGAAGCCTGTACGTCCAGGCTGTAAAATATCCATTCACCAGACTGTTACATGGATGAGAAGTGGGAAGACACTGAAACAGTAAATGTTAGTCTGATTGCTTATTTCTCTATTAGTCCCAATAACAACACTAATAATAGCTCTTGATTCACAACTATTATGCTCCTTATCATAAACCGATGCAGATGTTAATATTTCTGCATACAGCTGGAAAACATTTATGAGTTGTAAGTATTTGTTACAACTGCCTGTGGTTTCAGAACTAAAGGAGAATCTTCTGTAGAGGCATCTCTGGACTTCTTTGAAAGGTCCTCTCTTCCTTACTTGACTTTTCCTTCCTTTTGCAGAAATATTCCATCGTATTTCTACTTTGGCCTCTAGTGTAGTCAACAGCAAAATTTTCCATATCCTGTTGAGGGTGCAGAATCAGTCTTCAAATCTACTGAAACAAAAAGGAATATTGCAGCCAATATTATGCATATCATGCCCCAAACTAAGCACTATGTTTTGAGTATTTTTTCTCAGTGATTAGTTCTGTGTACTTTGTAATTCAGAGAATGCTACTACTTAAGCTTTATTTATTTATTAACTGGTCACTTGACTAGTGGTATATGCATCCTGCTCTCATCCCTTAAGAAATTTCTTCTGCTCTTGCTTTTAACTGCCCAAAGTTCAACCTTTCAGGTATTGTTTCTACAGTATTTAGTTTTCAGTTTCAAAATCAGCCTTTTTTCTGAACTGTTGTAATGTAATTGTTTTTTATTGTCTCACTGAAATTGTGCATTTTTCAAGACACTGAACATGTCTTATCCGGTTCGTAGCTATTGACATATAAATGGTACGAGCACTTAAATTGCTCAAATAAACTAAATAAGCTTAAACATCTAGGTCATTACTTCTCCGACTACTATAGGATTTTAGCTTTCTCAGCTTACAGAGTTTGTTAAATTATACATGTTTCTATTTATAGACAAAATAATTGGAAGACTGACCATGGATCTGCAGGAACGAGGGATTCATTTTTCAGTAATTTATACTGCAGTGAGACCTTCAAGGGTGAGTAATCTTCAGTGCCTAGAACTGTCAGATTTTTGGCATCTAACAACTCAATGTTTACAAAGGAATGCTGTAGATGATTTTCAAGATTACACAAGGAAGCAATCTGTATTATATGAGGTTTTGACCAGAAATGATTGCATGAATTTTCATGTATGATAGCTATATCACATAATTATTGAAGTTTTACTGTTGTAGTAGACCATAAATCTGCCATTGTCTTTAGAACTGATTATCTTTAAGGACTATAAGTTTTGTATTTTTTTTTTCCATTTAACTCTAATGGTTTTATAGTAAGTTCTATGTGAATCCTTACAGAGCTTCTTAGTGCGGCTCATCAGTAAAGCCTGAGCGTTGTTAATTAACAGAAGGCTACTAATTTATCAATTTTTAAATTAATTGGTTTCATTTCTCTTAGTTAATATTTGGTATTTACAACTGGAAGCTAAAGTTTTCACCCCTGCTGATAGTTAGAACACAATTTATAGATCACATCATATTAAATTAGCAGCAAGTAGTAATGCAGAATAGTTATTTATGCTGTTACCTGTTTTGTGTGAGATACAGGTTGTAATCAAGAAATATTTAAATTTTAATTTTAATGCAATTAAATGGAAGACAGTTATGCTTTGAGAAAAACAGAATACAGTTCCTGCCAAAACGAGAGGCATATGAGGGATGGGCTGTATCCTAAAAATTGGCAACTTTGGAAGACACATATCTGTTCCAGTGCTAACACACCTGAGCTACTAATATGATGCTTAGTTTAATTTGAAGTTTAGTTCAAACTCAAGATAATGTCATTTGAGAATACAGAAGATATAATTGCCTTGGTGTAGGCAACAGGAAAACCATTAGTTGGATTGTCCGGCTCTAGTGTGAGCACTTCAGACAGGATCTTGAGAAGCTGGAGAGTTTTCAGGAGAGAAGACTATGGAAAATTCACAGCTGTTCTTAACAGAAAAACACCATCTAGAAAACCTGTTTTAAATGGGTATGAAGTCCCTTTAGCTTATCCAAAAGAACAGTAAGAGGCAACTTGACTGCACTTCATAAATATTCTTTAAGGTAAAAGTGGATAAGGCCCCCAGAGGTGTTCTGTGTTCAATCAGAAATAGTCTGGGTTTTTGCAGGGAGATAGGATCTTGAACCTCTGGCTATCCAACAAGATGATCAGAACAGTCCCTTCAGACTCTAGGAAAAAAGCTAGTTCTACTGAACAAAAACAAGAACTTTCTTCAATAATCCACCCTGTGAAATTCATTTCCAGAGACTGGGTTTTGGAGAACAGAGTTAGAATACAAAGACAGAGCAGCATGAGGAAGATCACACTGATATTCTCTGTGTTGTATGTTTCTTGTGGTAAAGGAGAGGACATAACTCCAAGATTTCTGATCTGCCTTGTTTGTAAATACTTCATTATTTTTTTAACAAGGATCCAAAATAAAAATTATTTAGTTATTGTGGCTCTTTGACATCAAAGGCACATGGGCATTCTTAGCTGCAAATTGCATTTAGAACAATTGGAATGAAAAATATTTTTAATTAATGAAAGAATTGGTGTCAAGAGAAGGAATTTTTCAAGCAATTTTAAAAGTTTGTTGTATTTTCCATGTATGCATATTTCAGCAGGCTTTCTAAATTAAGGTGACTTTGAGCAACTGAAACACTCGTAAATAATTAAAGCTATGTGTTTTAACATGTTCTGCATTTTTAAAAAATAAGCAATTTAAACTTTTCTTAATTCTTTAAATTCAACGCCATATAAAACCATTTGAAGCATTTTTTTTCCCCCTGTAATAACTTTAAGTTATTTCAGTGCATTCAAGGTTATCAGCTTCTGTACAGAGCTAGAAAAGGCAAAATGGAAAGTATCTTTGAGGGTTCATTGGTCTGTATGTTTATGTAACCTCTTCTCAGTATGTATTGCATATCTTTGGCTGTGCTTGAAGTACAGAAGATGTGAACTGTTTTGTAACCTTAAGCTGAAGAACTAACTCTTTTTGCTTAAGTTATAAAGACTATATTCCATGATCTAGAAGCTACAGGGTCACTCCCCAGTAATAACCAAGATCACTCTGTATGAGGAGTAAAAGGCTTTGATCATATGGAAAAAGATTTTACGGATCTTTAGTACACTTGAAAATCAATAGCAATCATTCAGTATGAAAGATTTCCATTTACTAAGTTGGCTTTTTCTTGCTAATGAACAAAATGAGCTTTAAGCATGACAATTAAACAGAAAAAAAAGACACCTTTTTCTGATCAAGTAAATTAATTTTATGCAATGGAGCTCCTAAACACCGGGGCTATGAGATACTTCTCTCCTGATAGCTCTAGCTCCTTGCTGTTGGGCAGGTGATTGCTTCGTAGCATTATCTTGTTACATTCATTCTTCCATTGCCCCAAGCAGAGAAAAGTAAGTGTGAGAAATGCATAAACTGGAAAAGAGTCCAGACTGCTGTTGGCTCACAGAAAGTGAAATAATGAGACAGGAGGCAAAACTCCCCTATGATTGAGTCTCTTCTGACTTGATGAGCAAGAGCTGTTTAGCTTAGTCAGTGCAGCCACAGATCCCTTTGGGCTATCATAGTTATCGGTTAATAACCCCAATGGACAATGGAGATTTATTCAGGCTGGTTCTTGTTCTGTTCCAGTTTCAGAATTTGAAGCTGGAAGACAGAATTACAATCCTGAAACAGAGGCTGTTTGGTGACCAGTTCAGTTTTGGGCCCCTCACTACAAGAAGGACGTTGAGGTGCTTGAGTATGTCCAGCGAAGGGCAACGAAACTGGTGAGGGGTCTGGAGCACAAGTCTTATGAGGAGCGGCTGAGGGAACTGGGGTTGTTTAGTCTGGAGAAGAGGAGGCTGAGGGAAGACCTTATCGCTCTCTACAGCTACCTGAAAGGAGGTTGTAGTGAGATTGTGTTGGTCTCTTCTCCCAAGTAACTAGTGATAGGACGAGAGGAAATGGCCTCAAGTTGTGCCAGGGGAGGTTTAGACTAGCTATTAGTAAAAATTTCTTCACCGAGAGAATGGTCAAGCTTTGGAACAGGCTGCCCAGGGAGGTGGTGGAGTCACCATCACTGGAAGTGTTCAAAAAACGTGTGCATCACAGAATCACAGAAGCACAGAAACACTAGGTTGGAAAGGACCTTCAAGACCATCAAGTCCAACCATTAATCCAGTGCCACCATGTCCCCTAGACCATGTCCTGAAGCGCCACATCCACACGTTTCTTGATGTGACAATTGGATGTGACAATTCAGGACATGGTTTAGGGAACATGGTGGTGTTGGGTTAATGGTTGGACTTTATGATCTCGAAGGTCCCTTCCAACCTTAATGATTTTGTGTTTCTGTGATTCTGTGAAGTGGTTTCACTAACCAGTTGATGATTCCTCTGGATATTCTACCCTGTTGTAAAAGAGCTGCCTTCTTCCAACAAGCTGACTGCCACACCTTGCAACTCTTGTTCTAAAATGCTTCGCCTTCAAGGTCTGGCTGAGTTGGGCTGACAATGTGAGAGTTATTTGTATCACCTAATTCTGGGCAAGTGAAGTGTAAATGTCTACATCTGAAGTCATCAACCAGGATTCTCTTTACAATAAAAGACTTTTTAGGGTATGATCCTTCTTACCTATTTTGTAATGGAGTGCTGCAGTGAGATTCATCTCACCCTTCCTGATCTCCTTTGTCTCTGACAACCATGAAGGCAGTCTTCATGCTTAGGTCAGATCTTGACATATACATTTAGTCAGACAACTCTCACTGCACGTTTCTCATCTTCTTTTCCATTAAAAACCAGAAATTTATACGAAGAATTGATAATCTGATAACTGACAAGACCTTTTTTCCCCTTGAAACTCATTTGATAGCTTATTTTTCTTCAGGAGAATCAAACCCCTTTGCAGTCCTTGTTCCACTCTTGCAACAGGAGTTCTCATGAATACATGAATTTTTGTGTTCTTGGGGACTATGATCAAAGTCACCCCTCCTACTTGTGCTTACTGCTAATTAGTTTTTTTGGCTTCTGGTTGTAATGCATAATTTTGCCTGTGCTGTTGTAATTTGAGAGGTTAAAAAGGCTGCAGTGATTCAAAGATAGATAGGCCTCAAACCATAAATTTCATCATGATGCCCATCCTTCAGATCCTCATGGTGTCCATGTCATATTTTTACAAGTTTGCTTCTGAAACTTCTGCATGACAGTTTTATAGTTTTTATCTCTTCTCAGTTAGATTGAATGCTGAGGAACCACATCTTGCTGAAAGGAGATTTATGGCTACTTCCCAGCTGATATTCATTTTGCTGACTCCACTTTTTACAGATGCATTGTGAAGTGCTGTTTAAACCTCTACTGCCTCCACATTTTCAGAGAGTTTCAGCTACCGTGGGCTTTTGACTGCTTCAGTCTACAAGCTGTCTGCTCTAGTTGGTGTTTAAGTGTGTGAAGTCTTTGATCTCACTCAGAGCCAAGGAATATGAGTTAGAGGAACTTTATTTAGCCATAACTAACATGAGCATCTGCAGCACAAGAGGTTGCATTGACTCTTAAAAAGTGTCTCTTGAAGGTATCCTCAGGTGCTATTGATGTGCACCCCAGCTGAAAAGAGTATGAATAGGTTTTGTCGTCTTTGACAAGTGCTTGTGGTTGCATTTTCTTTGTCTCTACCTTCTACCTAATGCATTTTTTAAAATGCATTACATTTTGCAGTGTTACATCTTCCACTTATATCCAGCTCCTCTTTTTTTGTTGACTGTTCAGTTCACCACTCTGAGGAATCTAAACTCTGCAACAGCTACCCCACTGACTTCACAGCTTCTGATTAATGGAATGCTTTTAATCGTTTAATATACTCAAATGTTATATAATGGAAGCTTTCGCATGCACCAAATTTTAGAAAAATGCTTATAATGCCATTTGCTAGAGTTGGGGTTGCAGGGTGGATATCTGCACACATCCTTGAATACAGGAATTGCCTTATTCATTTACTCTT